ATAATTTTTCAGGTTGAATATTATTTTTGATTCAGTTCAGCAATTTTTTTTAATAAAATATTTATTTTCGTATTTCACTTTGATACATATTTTGATATTTGAATACTTGTTTTTTTCAGTTTCAGATTTTACGTTTTCAGATTCAAAACAATTATTTTTTCAGTTTCAAATCTTTTTTTTTTCAGGTTTCAATCTTTTTTTCGCCTTCAGATCGTTTTTCACTTTCAGATCTTTTTTTTTCGCTTTCAGATCTTTTTTTTTCGCTTTCAGACTTTTGACCCTGATATTGCTTCGGAGGGCAAAAAAAAAACTCTTACCAAAGAGTAGTTTGGCACCCTGAGTGACAGCCCTCCCTCTGTCATGATGCCTTCATGGATGTTAGGTAGCGCAAGAAATACAACTACACACTTTCTATACACAATACTCCCGTGATTGGTGGTAAACAAAACTGATACCAGCATCAAAGTNTTATTTTTTAGAATATCTTAGGCCCTCACAGAGTGAGAGTGTGTTGAATAGACCAACGTGCCAAATCAAGTCAAATGCTTTTTGGAAATCGATGAAACAGGTGAATATTTTGCTTTTATTTTGATTAACATATTTGTCAATTAGGGTGTGTNTTCAGATCTCTTTTTTTCGCTTTCAGATCTTTTTTTTTCGCTTTCAGACTTTTGACCCTGATATTGCTTCGGGGGGCGGGGCTTACCAAAGAGTAGTTTGGCACCCTGAGTGACAGCCCTCCCTCTGTCATGATGCCTTCATGGATGTTAGGTAGCGCAAGAAATACAACTACACACTTTCTATACACAATACTCCCGTGATTGGTGGTAAACAAAACTGATACCAGCATCAAAGTTCCGTTAAGCGAGCAGTTGAGCATCGTAGTTGTCACCAATCAAGGTATAAGAGCAATAAACTGTGCTAGAATCTGAAATCACGTATCCGCAATCAAGCGTTGTCCTTCCCCACTTCCACGTAGTTCCATGAACGCAGCAAAGTATTGGCTTGGTTTTTGCGATCAGAATCAGAATACCTTTATTAGACCCACAGGGGATACATTTACATTGTTACAGCAGACAAGAGCCAGAG